TTTATTCTTTCTTCAATAGTGGCAAAAATGAGCCTCACCAGCTTCAAGGACCTTTCACATTTGAGACTGTCCTATTTGAAAATGTTTTTCTACTTTCTTTTATTTTAGGAAAATAGGATTTTATAAAGTATTTCCCCTAAATTCAGGCTCACAATCAAATCAAGTCATAAACATGAGTTCACATAATATCAAAAGAATCAATAGCTCTTTAATGCTTTCAGAGTTATAGCTCTTTGAAAGTATCCAAATTGATAAGTTGGCTTTAGGTTTGCTTCCTATTTTCTAAGGTTTCGGTCACTAAAATGTTATTTCTTTCTCGGTCCTTTTGAACATTGGAACATGCCCCTCTTTCTTGGCTTGGTATTTTAATTGGATACATACAAAATGACGCAACTAGCATAATCAATTACTAGAACTTCTATTTCGGTTCTCTAAAATATTCCATTTGTTCAAGCTTGTAAACTCATCTAACAAAGGCAGTGTCGAAATATCAATCTAAAAATGAAATTCCTTAACTCCCTTAGTCCATCTTTACCGAAAATCCTTATTTAGATAAATTTGGTTTAATTTGTCGTTGTTTGGCTAGATGAATTCAACTTTATTGTAATTTGCCTTTATTAGGATAGCTGAAGAGTTCATCTCATCACGAAGTCTTCAACTTGACAATTGGAATGGAGCAAACACCGAACTTCCAAGTAATTGAGCAATGTAATGGTTTGAATGCAATCTATTCATAAAGCCAGGGCTTTTGAGTTTCCTCTATAACCAATTGCCTTAGTGGAATAGCTCAGCTTTATTGTATACATATAATTACATTCTGGATATACGGATTCAATTTCTTAAGCTTGTCCAGAAGAATCTGTTATAGTCTAGGTGTTGTTGAAAGTCCAAAAAAATCTCATCTTTAGAGTTCAATTTCCAAGCAACTGGCCTAAAATAGATTCACCTACGACTATTCCATTTGTAAGGATCATGATCATCATTGAACGTCATCAACAAAATTATGGTCTAGTCAGTTTTGTAATGTCATACGCAAAAGATGCCCCATGTTGTCTGCTCATATACATACCTAAATGCCAAGCCTCTTGTTCATTCCCTTATGAGAGGAGAAGACTATATCGGTTCTTGTAAGAGAAGGGTATGGTGTTCGAGCGTATATTCTGGCGTAAGGTTAACGGTCGTTATTTTACCAATTTTTAATCATGTCACTTTATCAAAGATTTGTAACTCTGAATCATTTACAGAGATTTTTAATTCAGTTGATATTCAAATAATTTCAAGTTGTAAATTTGATTCAATGCTCACCATCTTTAAAGTAGCATAAATTCATTTAAATATCCTTACAAAAAAAATATGAGAAAGTTCAAAAAACAAGTTCAAATAGGAGGTTGCAAAATGGAATAAAGCCTTATTAGGATGCCCCATTTCTCGATCATTTCACTTGCCATGGCTCCTTTTGATGTACCCTCAACCGCACAAATTTCTGCTTCGAGAGTGTCCTTGCTTTCATCCTTTTTTATGAGACATGTCTTATTAGTTAATGTGAATGTCATGAAAATAAAAAGAAAAATAATGCGAAATATGCAAGAATGCATGAAGTTTCGAGGCACTAATCCAAAAACGTGTCTGTTATTATAAATAATCTTCATTGGGACAAAAGTGTTATTTCTTAAGAGACAAAAACACCATAAAGGTACATTTTGACTAAGTCTTCTAGACCCTGAACGACTTCTAACAGGTTAACTAGTCTTCTGCCTTCATCTGTCACTGGTTGAATACCTTGTCGAACCACTCCGGCTTCTCTGGCTAAATCGTTAAACTGACGAGCTGATTTTTGTACTTGTTCCAAGAAATCTTGAATGTTTGAATTTCTATCTTTCACCCTTTGCTGAGCATATTCCCTAACGAAAACGCCATTGGAGTCTTCCATCGATAAGAACTATATGAAAATAGCCTCCAATTTCAACTATCATTTAGCCATCTTGTTCTTGTTGTCTTTGATGGGACTCTGTAGGTCAGTAACCTTTTTGTCATCTTCCCCTGCAACCTTTTTCAACCAAAATTTGAAAAGTTGACTTTTGATGTGTTTGTTGTAAACCCGGTCCATTTTGAGTCCTTCACAATGCAGTAGCATGGTATACTCTTCGATTGCGGGCACCACATCTTCTTGATTGAATGTGACACATAGTTGCCTTGCAGACTGTCTCTCTTTTCCTTCTGAGTCTTTTCTGACTATAGTCGGACCTCTGCGTTTTCCACCTCTTGTTTTACAACCCTTTTGTCCATTAATGCAAACTATTTACATTTAACAAACACGTTTTTTTGTGGATCAACACCTCTTTTGAATGATGTAAATAATAAAAAATAAAGTAAAACAAAACAAAAATGAAAGGAAAAAGTTAGTGAGATAAGGATAATAAAAAATAATAATGAAAAAAAAGTCATACCACACATGATATCTAACCAACATGCTTTAATTCTTACCCATACATGCTTTCTACCCCGCATGCTAATTTTAAGCAAATCCTAACCACATATTTGTCTAGTTCGCATTCTTTGAACAGAAAGTAAAATAGGAGATAATTCAAGCATCCTAAGTTTTGAAATAAAGTTTTGGGGTGAGCTTTAATTCCATGTTGTCTCCCAGTTTAGGTTCTAAAGAAGGTACCCGACTTCTCCTTGCTGGTGCCCCCCTTACGCTTGCCAGTCTCTTAGTCCTAAGCTCATTGCAAGCTTATGTGGACTAAGTTAAACTCGAGAGGATACATTCCCTTGTGTATATAAGGAGAATAAATTCACACGAAGACATAAGGTATATGAATCCCGAAGGTTACTTGTTAGGCCTATACGGAGAATAAATTCTCACGAAAGCGTCGCTTTCACCTCCACTTAAAAAGGATTTGGAGCTCGGGTATAGAGCCAGAGATGAAAATTTCAAAAATATGAAATCATTGAAAAAAACGTCAGTACAACTATATATTTGAAAAAAAATAGTCAAAGATAAATAATAAGAATCGAATAAATAAATTAAAATTTGAACTTATAATTTTCGCTCAAAAAGACAACCGAATTTTAATTTTGGCCTGATTCACTTACCTGTCCACAACGGAGTCTGTAAGATGTCGCAACCATCTTTCAAGTGGGCTCGAAATTGGGCTTCGACTTAAATAAAAACACGTTAGAGTCGTCACCAATCATTTAAAAAATATTTAGGTTGATCGGACACCATCTTACCTGATCTGTATTTTACCAGAAGTATGCCGGATTCAGGAATCGGTTACAGTCAATGAATGACTAGCACCCTTGAACTGCCCTTTCGGTGTCATTTTAATTTATCGGTTATTTAAATTGTGAAAATTACAATTTAAATTAAAATTTAAAGACTCGATTCGAATTACTTACCTTTGATCGATTGAAATTACCTCTGAAAACAGTCAAAAAAATGTTAGATTGTAGAAAAAAAATAAATAAATATTTAGTAAAAACAAAAAGGTTAAAAAAATGGGAAAAAGTAAAAATTAAGGAAAAAACGAATAAAATGTTATTTTTCAAAAACAAATGTTAGAAATAATAAAATAAAGGAAATAAATGAAACCTAAGGGATCAAACTGGAACAAATTGAAATTTATGGACCAAATTAATACTAGAAAATGACCTGTAAAAAACGAAATGTTAGGGAATTAAATCGCGAAATATAATAAATATAATAAAGGATTAAATTGAATTAATTGAAAATTTGGAGGTAAAATTGAAACAGGTGACTGAAATAAATTACACTTCAAAAGTTAAGGGACTGCGGAAATAATTTAACTATCAACTAATTACATAGTGGTCCCTCGGTTATAAATACCCCTAACCCCAAAATAATTTCATTTTAACACCAAACCTAAAAGAAACATTAAAACACTCTCCCCTCTCCTCAACCGACCCTGATGGCCGGCCACCGCCTAGTGGCCATCGACCGCTGCATCCACCACCAGTGGCCGGAAAACCCAAACTTACCCACAAGCTTCCTCTAGACCGACACTGAATCTAGCCTCAAAACAACGAGATAACATCTAGAACGGAGTAAGATATGGGTTTTAATCCCTCGGTTTTTCTTACCTTTTCCGACGACTCTTCAGTTTTCGAAGGTGCTTGGCTCCTCTTGGTTCCGACGAACAAAGAAATGCTTTGTTTTTTATGATTTTCCTACTTTGTATCTTTGTGGGTTTCAAATGGTTTTTTTTATTTGTCGATGATGTTTTTGGTTTGGTTGCTTTCAGTTTTGGCCGAATTTTTTTCGCGTTTGGTGGTTTTATGTTTTTCTTTTGCTCGATGTTGTTTCCTTTCTCTCGGTATTATGATGGTTTTTTCCCGATTTTAAGTTATGGGGCCAATAAATTCGGCCGGCTCTCGAATTGCCTAGGTCCATGGCCCCAAGCGCGCTCCCGTGTGGTGCCTTTGTCTATGTGTGGAAACCCTAATTATATTGGGTTGGGTCAGGCCCCCTACAGGGCTTACTGTGCTGGGTTAGGCCCCCTACCGGGCCTGCTGTGCTGGGTAAGGCTAGTATGGCCCTGTTTGACTCCCTTACTGGACTGTTTTGGATCCTAAAAAAGAAAAAAGAAAAATAAATGAATAAATGAAAAATAAATAAATAAAATGTAAATGAAAATGAAAATTACATATTACATATATTTTAAAAATGTTTTCAAAATCATATATTATATATAGTTTTGAAAATGTTTTCTAAATTATATATTATATATATTTTTCAAAATGTTTTCAAAAATGTGTTTTCAAAATTATATAATATATGTTTTTAAATCATATTTTCAAAACCATATTATGTATATTTAAAAAAATGATTTTTTTTAAAAACTATATATTAAATGTTTTCAATAACCGTTTTTTAAAAACTATATGTTATACGTTTTTCGAAAATATTTTCAAAAATTATACTATATTATTATATATTTAAAAAAAACTACAGACGAAAATGAGTGTCTATAGTCGGTGATGGAAAAGATCAGTGAGAAGATTCACTCCCACGATTCATCCTCAGAATCGGATTCTGATCATGAGAAACCGAGTTGTAGTTCTACAGTTCAGTCTAAGATTTTTCTGTTGTTTGGAAGGGTGAAGATAGTTCATCATGTGCTTGGCGGTGGAGAACGTACCAACTCCGAACTCTCTCATTTCACTTTTTTCTTTTCTCAAATTTCATTAATGAGAATGACTTTATGCTTTGAAGTTTGTTTGTTCGTGGTCTTGATGCAAATGAAAGTAAAAGATTTAATCTACTTAGTTTACAGCAGTTTACTTGATTTAAGATCAGTGGGTCTATATTTTGTTCTATGCTTTATGATCTGTTTGATATTTTAAATGCATTTCTCAACTCAATGTCTCAATCCCACTTTTCTATTCATCTATTTTTTTGTTGGTGGAAATTTAATATAGTATTATTATTTCTTTAATGACATGTTTGAAATTTCATTTTTATGATACGTTGTTATAAGAGTAAAATATACACATCTAATCCGCTAAGAGTTTAAAGGAATTTACAAAGAGGAATTCTTGTTGTAGATCAATGGCTTTTGTTTGTGTTAAATGCACTGATGTTGCTGCTGTCCGTCTTATTCAGTTATTGTGTTGGTAAATATTTTGTTGCTGCCGCTGATGTATTCTTGTGGAGGAACAAGAAGATTTCAGCAAGTGTGCTTAGTGGAGCTACTGATATTTGGGTCCTTTTTGAACCGATTGACTACAACCTACTTACTTTAATCTGTCACGTTTCGATACTCTGTCTTGCACTAATGTTCTTGTGGCCCAATGTTCATACTTCATCCACGAGTAAGTTTATACATTCTATTAGGGAACTTCTGTTTATGTGGTTGTTAAGATAGTGTATGGTTTCTTAAAGACCATATAGCTCACCCTTTTCTTTACAGGACTCCACCTTGCATCCCCGAAGTTTATTTACCAGAGGAGCCATTCATTCATGTTGCATCTGCTCTGACGATTGAAATTAACCGGGCATTCAAGCTGCTGCAAGATGTTGCATCTGGAAGAAATCTGAAGTAGTTTCTTATGGTGTGTTTGTTTTCATGCCTATGGGGATGCTTCATCTTAAGTTTGATTGGGAGGAATTACTGATATCTCTATTCTTTGATTTGAATTTCAGGTTATAGCTGCATGTTGGGTTCTGTCAACCATGGGGAGTTGGTGCCACTTCTTGATATTGTTCTATATATGTAATAACACTGACTCATCTTTCTTAGCTCCAAGTATTTATGATCAATAGATTTTCATATACTGAATTTTTATTTATATTTTATACATCATCAGCTTTCATGTTGCTGCATACGGTGCCGGTGTTGTATGAGAAGTACGAAGACAAGGTTGACCCATTTGCAGAGAAGGCAATGATTGAGATTAAAAAGCAATATGCAGTTTTTGATGCCAAGGTTTTGAGTAGAATTCCAAAGGGTCCTTTGAAGACCAAGAAGGTTTAAACAAACATTCTTGGTTTCCAGGGTATTGTGTGCGTGCTCAATTTACATTAGGTAGAGGCATTTCTTCCTCGAATCAAACTTTTACTAATGTTTTGGTATTGAGTTCAAAATATCATGTATCATCCAAATGCAATTAGTTAGCAATATGCCAAGCTTACAAATGGCACCACGAGGTGATGATGCTATAATTTAACTTTGTTTCATTTTGATGAACATTCAGCTTTTTTTACATTGGTTGCCACCTGATTTTGTGCCTTCTATGGTCTCTGTTATTGTCTTGATTTTGTGCTGTTTCCTTATGGGTCAGTCCCTTATTAATTATAATGATAAGGGTGTTTCCTTATGATAAGTCCCTTAATCATAGCTATAACGTCAACACAAACAATACTTGGGAGTACTAATATACAAGAAACCACTCGGTATTTTGAAACTCTTGGTGGTTGATGTAAGCAAAACAATGTTTAATCTGAAAAAAAAAATTCAAAATTTTATGAATTGAGTTATTGTAACTCCAGTTGTACGAGTCAATTCGAATCAGTGAGTTAGTTTTGAGTTTGCGTTGAGTTTGGCTTTTATTAATTTGGAAAAGTATATTTTCAAATAATGTTATTTTGATAAAATAATTTGACTATTTTGTAATTTAGTCTATAATTTTTTATTTCTTTAAATTTTGATGCACATTAAATCTATTTTTAATCAAATTTGAACTTTATACTCATAACTCACTGTAAAATATTTATATACTTTTAATTTTAATTTTTAAATTTTCTATAATTTTATCTCTCAATCTTATATGATATTTTAATATTTTTTGGAAATTTCTATTGTAGATTAATCCAAAAAAAATAGCAAAGCTGCTACAACAAAGTCCAAATCAAATCCCCCACTATTACATAGAACAAAGTTCACCCCATAAAGTCTATCGATTGAACAAACCTACAAATGAATCTTCACAACCCCTAACACATTCAACAATTTCCTCAATAGATCTAAAAATCCTTCGAAACTGCCTAAAGTTACGTTTTTTCCTTACAAAATACAAAAACCCCGCCCAAGTCAATTTGAAGATACAAACTAACCGACATACATTTGAGTTTTTCAACAATCCATTGCAAAGCGCTGCTCCAATCAGTAATGTTTCATTGTAGACCGCAAAGCTGCAAGATCCTGGTCAAATTTCACAAGAAAACTCATATTCTATGAAAAGATGATCCCGAGTATGAACATGAACCCCACACAGATTACATATACATTCGTAATATATTTTTTCAATCTGTAATATATCCTGAGTCTCCAATCAGTAATATATTTTTCCAGTTTCTCTTATTATAAGTTTTCTTTGTTCAAATTTGAACATGTTCTCAGCCCTTATAAAATATCAATATAATTTCAGTTGCTATTTTTAGTAATAAATTCTTTTTTTATAATTGAATCATTCAATTTTATATTTTATTTAAATTTTATTTTTTAATTATAATTACTTTTATAAAATTTTTCTTTCTATCAATTTATTGAATTCTCTGTACTTTTATAGATATTGCCTTCAAAATTCATTCTTTTAAAAATAATATTATTAGTATAATTTATAAATTTATATAGTATTTAATTTATTAAATAATATTAAAAATTATTTACACATACAAAATATAATATAAAGAAATGTATTTATATATCTCATATGATTAGAAAAATTTATTTAAATTAAAATTAAAATAAAATTTGAATCCTAAGATAAGGCTCGTTTTTTACATCGACTCAATTAAATATTGATTCCATGGTTGAACCTAATTATAATATTATCTATAATAATATTTGTATTGAATACAATAAATTGTTTTAGATGCACAAAAACTGGATTTAGTGTAATAATTCCATACATTAGAAAATTTTATTTTCACAAGTATTCTATTTACAAGGCTATTATTGATCAGGTAAGATGGATTGAAGAAATAGAATTTCGTATAATTATCGGTATCTGATTTATTGATTGACTAATCTGGGTCGAGTACTGCAGAAGTAAGGGTGACCCTCCCAACCCAGTTTACTCTATACACAATCACCAGGGTTCGAACCCCGACGTTGCTTAAGGGATTTAGTGCCTCATTTCAATGAAAAATCAAATATAAATGAGGTGAACCCGACAAAATTATAAAAAATTGAAACTAAATTAAGTTAACATATTCGAGTTAAGTGTTCATCTTCTAAGTAACACGAAAAGAATGTATCATTTACTTAGGCCCCAAGCCCTGAAGGCAGGGTATTTAGTTAGTATTCGTCATTTTATAACGCGGTGAGATGATATATAAATTTTCTTCAAATTTGGAAAATTTTCGCTGCCTTTATTTTGTTACAATGTTAATGTTTAAGAATACGCCGAGGTTCGTCAGGATGGCCGAGTGGTCTAAGGCGCCAGACTTAAGTTCTGGTCTTTGAAAGAGGGTGTGGGTTTAAATCCCACTTCTGACAGCTTTTGTTTTCTTAAATTTCTTCTTATCAGTGAACTTAACTGTGTATAACTGGGCCAGCGTATTTCCTAATTATATTTCATGTGTTATTGTATTGTAACTAATCTCGGAAAATCCTAGTATATGAATCAAACTATGGCATAAACCATCATTGCTATACCAGAGAGTCATAGGGCTCGCCACAATTTCAATGTTGAAAGAAGGACATTTGTCCGACAGCTCCAACATGTAATGTTTTTGGTCCCCTCCTCATCCCATGTTCGTCTATGTCATAAACTTCTCCATCTCCAACTAGCTTAATTACTTTATGTTTATTCTTCTCAACCACAACCCATAAAGCTACTTTTTGACAAATGAAAAATAGCAGTTGAATCCCATATACTGAAATTATGTCCTTGTTTTGAGGTAGTGGATTTCTTCACATCGGGACTCATCTCATCAGTCACTGATATCCAATTCAGTATGTAAACCAGAAATCTGGTGGTTGAATGAACACATCTTGATAGCCTTAAACATAGATGAACCGACGGGTGGAGCCGTCTCATTAGAAATTTAAATTTAACATATATATTTTAGAATTTTTCTTCTTTTGAAATATGTTTTTGTCTAATGAAACTTTATAAGTTGATCATTTTTTGAAGGCTTAATATGAAAATAAGTATATGAACTTTACTTCAAAAATCAATTTGGTGCCTAAAGAATTTTTCGCTAAAAATTGGTTCCTAACGTTTTTTCAGTTACAGTTTTTAGTGTCCACTGTTATATTTTTTATTTTTTAAATAAAAATATTATTTTAATGAAAAATAAAAAAAAACTTAACTCATTTGCAAAAGTACCCCAAACTTTTAATGAAATTATAAAAAAACTAAAAAATTAAAAATCTCATTTCAACCCCGTTATCATGGTGGAACGGCAGAGGAGCGACAACAAGAATGGGTTTTGAGCGGAATTGGATAGTGGCTCGAATGGTGGTGACGACGTGGAAAATGGAAATTGGGATCGACCAGAATCGACGAAAAATAGTGACTGTACTTTAAATCCGACGAACCTTCGAATGCTTCTCCACGCCAAACGATGGCAGCTTACAATGAAAGGCCAATGAAGGTTTGATCGGAAGTCGGCGTTGGTCCTAACGACGGTAGCAGTGACGGCCATGGCCAATCGATCGTCTAGCGACCATATAAGGGAGAAAAGGAGAAGGGATAACTAGAGAAATAGGGAGAAGAAAAGTTGGGGGGCTTACGCACGGATGGTTCAATATTTGTTTTTTTTTAATATTTTTATTTTTAAATTTTTTAAAAATAAATTATCAAAATTGCCAGGGCTCGATATGTGTCACCTAACAATAAAATTTAACGGCTGTTACGGTCTAGGGCAACTAAAAATGCTTCGATGAAAACGTTAGATACTTAATTTTAGCGAAAATATTAGAGTATGCCCAAAGACCAATCATATGATGATTGTATTGGCATATATTATTTATCGTATTTATTGAGAAAAGATATTACCATTATTTTCTTTAATTATATTTTTGTGCTTTAAAGAAGCTAAAAGATAATAATGTCCATATGATAATATGGTTATTATTAAAATATCTTTAGTCAAATATTATTATGGGCATGAGCAGTAATAATACGCTTAAGACTAACATGTTATTGATTGATGAGAATGAGTTGTCATTAACACAGAGATGTCAGAATTGATACATGAATATATTTTTAGGGAACAATGTATTGGAATGACCCGCCATGAGCATATGTCTTGGATTATTATATGATGGTCACGATATTGTTCATGGTGACAACTATATGTATGATCCTTAGACCTGAGGTCATTACTATCTCAACATATATTGTTGTATGTTTTGATACATGTAAACATTCTCTGTAACTGGTTGCACTACAAGAATGTTATTGAATATACCTCGATATATGTAGTGGGATGTGAATGATTAAGATAGGATTTGTCCTTCTTACAAAATAGGAAGATATATCACAGGTCACTTAATTGAGTGGGATTAGAAATGCATGACCATGCTCGAATAAGTTGATATGAGATATTACAAATTATTCGTTACTTATAGTCTACTCTAGATATCAATAAACAATAGATGAGTTATACAAGTGTGACTATTCCAAGACTTGTGCCTACTCTAGATATAAAGGACAAAAGGATGTAATACATAAAAGATTTAATCCAGAAGATGATATGTTAAATCATGATTTCTTGTAACTTAGGTGATAA